TGCTATTTTCTATATCAGGCATAAATATAATTAATTATAATTGTAACTTATATTTTCATTGAATTCATTAATTAAAATAAAGACAATTTTATTCCTATATAAAACACGATTCGTGAAAGAATATAAATTACATTTATATTAAAATTATTTACTATTAAATTAAATTACTCATAAATTATTATATTCATATTATAGTTTTCTATATTAATTAATGATAAATATTATACATATTTATGTAAGTAATTATAAATGAGATAGTAAATATTTTTTAAATCATTTAAATCACACATTGACATTTTATCAAAAATATTTTATTAAAAAAAAATTATATAATTTTTTGTTTTATGTATATCTCTAATCTTTATATTTCTTTTTATTTGTTTGCACTTTTACCACTTCACACAGTCTTTTTTATGTCATAAACATAACAATATAATATAATATTTATAAGGAAAAGTTCATTACGGAAGGCATGTAAAAAAGTATTTTCATAATTGATACAAAAAAGTTTATCACTTATATCGAATTCACAAATATATATCCTTGCTGTAAATCTCATGTAATATCCACATAATGTATACATAATTGTATCTATAAATGGATATAGAGAAAGAATGCAGTTTATTATGTAGAATTACTTGTTTGAGGAATTAGTTGACTTTCCATTTGCATATAAAATTGTTCTCCAAACCACTCTCTATGCATTTCTAAATAGCTATAAAAATTTAATTTTTATATTGTATTGTTAGTTACAAAAAAAACAAAAAATATTTAAAAAATAAAAAAAAGATATTACCTAAGAAACATATCCAAATATTTTAAAAGAACCTTCAATTTTTTATGTGGTATATCCGTTAACTGCAGCAAATCTGGTAATTTAACTAATAGAAATCATATTTATAATTATTTATTTATAACTATAAATATTTAATAATAATATATTTGTTAAAATATTTGATAACGATTTTTTTTTACATACCAAATAATCGCGTTAAATGAATGGCACCATAATAGGTAGAAGGATTTGGAGAACCTTCTGATTTTGATGATTCTGGCATTAATCTCCATTTGTTTGATTGTTGAAGTAAAGCGTTGACTTGCGCAGATGTAACAACAGGTATTCTCAATGTTACACCACGTGGGCTAGAACAACGAGAACTTGTACTTGCAATACTAAAAAAAAAAATCTTATCAATTTTATAATTATGTTAAAATGATTTACTTCATTAAAAACTTTAATTCACCTCGATAAATTTCCTGTATCTTGTTTAATTTCTTCATATGATCTCAATTGCCTATTTTCATCAATAGAACTCACTCTGTATGATCTCAATCTACGCTTTGAATTTGTTATTGTTTTTGAAGTATCTATTTCTTGATCATGTTCTTGAAAAGGTGGTAAATGAGCATACTCAGTATCTTCGTATTCTTCTTTAACTAATACTTCTGAATTTCTTTAAAATTACAATTACATTAATAATGAAAATAAACTATTAACTATATTAATTTATTTTAATAAACTTATAAGTAAATATTTTATTTTATTTTAAAAATATTTTAAATAATAAAATATATAAAATATCTAATTATAAAATTAAAAATTTTCAATAAATAAATAAATAAGTATTAAAACTTACTCAATTGGTTCTTCTTTGACAAGAGTTGGATGTTCACCATATAAGAAAGAAGATTTTAAATTACAATATTGTTCTCGTTCTTGTCTATATAAGAGAAGATCATGTAATGTAAAATCGAAATATATACGTAATCCATCAGCGACTTCTCTACATATGTTTATTTCGTTAATTGTTTTTTCTATTGTATTATTTGCTTTGTTTCTTTGTGGTTTTTCAGGAATGTTTGTTAATTGTGTTGTTGTAAAGTGTTGAACCCATGATTCTAAAATATTTGCAACAGTAGGTTGTGCAGGAAGAACTGCTAGCTAAAATCCATATTAATTTTTATTACTTTCAAATTTTAGATTAACTTTTTTGATTATAATTGTGTATATTATAATTTTAAAAAATCATAATAATACCTTAGTTTTATTAGTTATAAGATCATAATCTTGGTCCAAAATTCTTCTTAAAGTAGTACCTATATCAAGATCAATTCCTGGCTTTATACTAGCACCAGATTGACTACCACCACCACTATCTTCATCATCACTTGTTTCACCAACATAATCTGAACTACTTTCTGTATCTTCTTCAGTAATAACTTCCTTTAATAACAAAGTGATAAATATTTTGATTAAATATAAATAAATTTATTATATATTAACATATATAAAATATATATACAATAAAAATAATACTTCAGTATCATAATCAGCATGCTGTCCTGAACTACCATCTTCTGATGATCCAGTTGTTGCTGATGTTGCTCTACTACCACCACTTCTTGCTCTTCTTCTTGGTTCTTGATTTTCAGTTTCATTTAAACGTTCAGATAATTTATGGCTTCTTTTTTTACGTTCTCTTCGATATAAATATGCTCCCCTGTTTATCATTTTTATTAAATAAAATTTTCTTATATTAAATTATTTTTTATATAAAGTTTTATTTTATATACGTACAATTGTAACTGTGCTTTTTGTGCTAAATCTCGTTGAAGTTGACGATTTTCTTCTGTATCTTTTAATACATATTCTTCTGTTACACAACGATCCCATGAAGAATTCCATCCCTATCATTATATATATATACTTTACTTTTATTAAACATCAATGTAAAAATAAGATAATACTTATTATTTACCTGGAAATGTATTAAGTATTCAACAGCTTTACGTCCTCTTTGATCTTTGTTAACTATAACATCAAGTACCTATAATGATATATGAATTAATAAGAAAAAATGAAAATTTTATTTGATGCTTTTTATAATATATTTTTTATTTTTTATAATATACCTTTGAGTCATATAATACTTTTGCTTTTGTAGGATCAGGTTCATAACAAAGAACTTTTTCACCATCACAAAATTTAAATTTTGGTCCTCGAGTAGAAACCATTCCTTACAATTAAAATATTAGAGCAAAATCACCAATTTATTTTGTAAATGATCGTAGAATAACGAGATGATAAAATTGTTTAGATTAACATAACCTTACATATTATATTTAAATAAAAAAATAATCAATAATTAGAACTAAAAGTTCTACATAATCTCTCAAAACTTCTTATTTAAATTTATTAATAATCATTGAATATATTAAATTCCCGTACAATGCGTTACTAATATCGTATGAGCAGAAATTTAAGTCTCCCGGTTTCAGAATCGTTTACTGAATTGAATTAGTTTATATACACCAGATATAACTAACCTCATTTGATAAATTATTTATATAAATAATAAATATAAAGCACCATTCAAAATATGTTCTTTAATTTATATTAATAATAATAATATGACATACATATTTATAAATGGAAAGTTTATATATTAATATTCTATGAAAATCCGCCATAAATATCGATATCACATCTTTTTATTTTATTTTATATTAATTAATAATTAATATATTTTCTTTTTAAGTTTATAATTTTTAATAAATATGAATTTATAAAATTACTCTATAATATAATAAATTCATATTACAAATTAATAATTTATTTTTCCATATGTATAAAAACGAAAAGATTATAAAAATTAATAATTAAATTTTTAACATTTATTAAAAATTACTAATCTTGATATTAATATATATTATACTTACAGTAGATAAAATTTATATTTATATAACAATAAAGTTCATTTATCGATCAAATTAATACTTACCGTCTTATTAGTTGATTATTAGATACTTATAAATTTTTCTACTAGAGGGAACTTTAAGTGAATGATAAAGTGGGGTAAAATTGTACAAATTGTATATACATACCTACCAGTTTCATAGATCCATTCGTAATATTGTTTGCTTGAAACGTGTTGCGTGTTATTTTTTTCTGTTATTTATACATGTATTCAGATTTGGTGAAAAAGATTTCAAGATTTTTATTTTCTAGTGTTTCAAGGACAAAAAAGTTTAAATTTATATGCAATAAATAAAAGAAATTTAAAAATAATTGAGTGTAGAGATCAATCTGTCAAATCAGGTAAATTATATACACATCATATATGTGTATATATATATATATGACATGGAAATAATATATGGAAATTCATTTTATCTTTTAAGAATAAATAACCAAAAAGTAAAGAAAAATAAGTAAAATAAGAAAACCATGATATATAACAGTGAAACAACAGTGTTACAATAGTGTTACAATAGTGTTTTAATTATATTTGTACTAAAAATATTAAATGATTTTCTTCCCGCTATTTTATATTAATGTAAGATAAAGTGCTAGAAATAAGATTTTTGTCGTTATTTGTTATTGACAAAAATACATGGAATTAATAAAATTTATTATCATTGTGAAAATGATAAAAAAAATGAAGTGAAAAAAAAATTATACATTTTTGCTTGCTAATTTAATAATTCAAATTTACTTGAAATAAATATTATGATTATTGTTATAATTTTTAAAATATTTTTTTTTATGAAATATAAATTTTTTGTGAAAAAATATATTTTTAAATATTTACTAAAATATGTAAATATATTACATATTTTATTTTTTTTCATGTTACATGTTTTTTAATTATCGCATTCTCTATACTAAACCTATATATGTAATAGATGTGTGACCGATATCGCGCCAAATCAAATCCACCGCCCACAAATGTATATAAATTGTACTTATAGTTAACTTATTTATGAATAGAGACATATAGATTCATCTGATATATTTCTCGTACATTGTTCATAATATAGAAATCCTGTCATTTGCTATTTTCAGTTGAGATGACTTCATGCTGATATTAAGTAATTGTTTTAATATATTATTGAAATGTGATATAATTTTATTAAATAGTTTTAATCCAGAATCAAATTTAACACAATTTATCTTTATTTACGATGGAAGTTTACGCCTTTTTCAACTGCATGATAATTTATAATTTATTCATCAGGTTTCTTTGATTTATTTTTGTTTTTTTATTCATTTTTTTTAAATTAAAAATTAAATTAATAAATCTTATATATGAAAAATATAATATTTATTACAATATTACAAATTGAATTTCTTTTGTCTTGAAAAAATAATAGATTTATATAATTATTGGGTTCTATGTTAATACAACAAAATATAATGGTGATTAAATATATTTATATTTTTTGCATTCATTTTATAAAATATCTGATAAAAAATATGTGTATATATATATGTATATCATATTTATATATACATATATATTGATATATTTATATTTATATAATTTAAAAATATATTTTAATTTTTGAAATTTATTATTTTAAACTTAAATTTCGTGGCTTAATATTTAAATAAAAGATTTGTATTTGGAAAATTTTTAATAATATTATTTAATTTTTTTCAGAATTACGATGGATCAAGGATTTCCAGCACAACACACTACTACTACCACTGTAACGACGAGTACGACTACAACACAACCAAATATTCGATTCGATTCATCTTATATAAGAACATTGCCTGGAATTCTTAAAATCGTTCAAGTAGTAAGTTAATGGTCATAGCATTATATTGTAAGATCTAGAAGCATTGCTTTTTAAGACATAAACATAGCATAAAAATATAAGTCTTATAACGCTCGTAGGCCTCTTTTGTTTTATAACGGACGTTAAAAAGATGAACATTTGTTTTCTTGACGCTCGTCTTGATCTTATATATCATATATATATTTATCAGTATTATAAATATTATATATATATCTATGAATTATGTATATTGTATATATGAAATTAGTATTATGAAATTATATTGTAGATGTTAATACAGTGAAAATATAAAATAAAATTTTTACAGTATGTAATCTAATTTTTAATTTTTTAATAATATTTAATTTAATTTTATTAAAAATAAAAAATATAATTACTAATTATATGCTTTTTTTTTATAGATTCTAAATCTTTTGGGATTCATATGTATTACGGTATCGTCTTATCATACTAGCCGTGGAGAATGGTTTAATACTGTGGCTATGGGAGGTTTTTGGTTCACAGGAATATTACTTGTTTTTTATTTGTTTCATATTGTAGAAAAATTCTCGAAAATTCCTTGGTTAAAAATTGTAAGTTAAAAAAATAAAAATAATTTTTTACATATAATTATAATAATATAAAATTTTTGGCAAATAGTAATAATTTTTGAACTAATATCTTAACTTAAAAAGTTAATAGTGATTTTTACATGAAGAGAAAAAAAATTGATTTTATAATAAATAATTAGGATTAGGACTTTATATTTTAATATCCTATATAGTATATTAATAATTATTTTTCATTTTAATATTATAATTTTGTTTTATATTTTTTGTTTTTTATTTACTAACATTTGCATGAAATTTTATTTGTTGTATAAAATAATATTAATTAAAAATGTTTTAAAAATAACGTTACATTATATTTTTATTTGTAGGAATTTTTATTTTGTATAATTTGGACTGCTTTCTATTTGCTGGCTGCTTCTCTTGCAGTTGATTATGCCAAATATATAGAAGCTTACGGAGTAGCAGCAGTAAGTCTTTTCAATCAATAAACTTTTCAAAGTTTTAAAAATTAAATTGCAATTAAAGTGATCTTGAATGATTAATTAATTTTAATTATAATTCGATGAATTGTTTGCTTAAATTTTTTGATGTTTTTTTAACATTTTTATATCTTTTTATAGTTTTTTGGATATTGTGCTATGGTAGTTTATGGTTATGATGCTTGGCTCAAGTTTCAAGCTATAAAAAATGGTGCATTAGCACAGGGACAGCACACACCGAAACAAGTGTCTACAATGACAAGTCCTACATATTAATTTCATCGTAAAATATATAATTTTTTGATGAATTACACAAATAGATCAATTGCATAACATATCATTGCTTTTATAGAGAAGATTTGATAAATTTTCAAATTTTTCTCATTTTAATGCTTTAATGCAAAAGACTAACAAATAATAACAGGGCACAATAGATTTGAAAATTTCATTATTTTTTATCTATAAAACTTATATATTTGTGTACACACATGTTATGTAATTTCATGGAAGAAAAACACAATATAATATCTATAATTTCATATCTTTGTACCATAAAAATGATATATATACAATTATAATGTAACGCGTATTTTGGAATTTTTCATATTAATAATAATAATATATTATGTATGTATGTAATTTTTAAAATCTGTTAATATTAAAGCAATATTTTAACAGATAGTATATATATATATTTGTATACATATACAAGAAATATATATTTAATCAGTATTGTGTTCACGCTATATGCAAATTTAATTAATATATTTGTACTCATTTTGTATTTAATTTTTTCATTTTATATAATGGCAATTTCATTGCATTCCTAATTAGAATGATACATGGATAGTTATCTTAATTTATTTGTAATTATTCATATAAAGATCATAATAGAATGTATTATGTAACAAATCAAATTAATTTTGTCATTTTTACTTATTATTTATATATATATATGTTGTATACAAAATTATATATTATTAAATATAAGTAATATTGTTTATAATATTTATAAATTTGTTTATGATATTATGCAGCATATTAAGAATATTTTTGTCATTTTATTCGACGAATTCAATACAAGTACTTAAACATATATATTATGTACATGATATAATTATATATACTAAATATATACTAAATAACTATAACTATATACTATATATACTAAATAAATTATAACTAAATAATTATATACTAATTATAAATTCCAAAATAAAAAGCATAGCAATGATGGTCATAATACAATGTATATTATTAGCTTGATATTTAAAAAAATAAATTATTTAATATCTTTTGCAAATTAGACAGCCATTATTTTCGTAAAATATAATTGTTAATTATAATATATAATTGGTAACTTAATAACTTAACAACATAACATAACTTATTATTTTAATTAATTATTTTAATATTTTAATAAAACTCTACTTTTTTTTCAACAAATGTATAATTACGAGAAAAATTTTTATTGGTTTTTATGTGATTCGATGTTTTAAATGAAGACAAAAAAAAATTATTGAAATATTACTAATTGCTTTGAAGAGAACGAGGTCTACGAGCTTGTTTCTTACCCATGCTCGATAGATCTATAGTTTTACCATCAGGAAGTACTAATTTATTCTCTTGATAATCCACAAATCCATTCTCTTCTTCTTCTCGTTGTTCTTCATCGCATTTGATTCCAGTTTCATATGTGTATTCTCGACGAATACCATCTGGATCGATATAACCATATTTACCTCTGGTAATACAATCAATACCGATTATTTCTTCTTTATATGATCCATCGTCGTTTTCAAAGCCCCATGTGATTGAGCCATCCGAATTATCGTTACGATATCGTCTTATAATCTATTACAAGATATTAAAATATTTTTAAATATAAATTTTAACTTAATTAAATTAATTGATGAATTTTTTATTTTCAATTAATAATAACTAATCATTTTAAGTCAATTTCACTCTTTCTTGATATTATAAAAAAATGATAAGGATCATTTTCTCCTTTTAGAAAATTATATCAGAGAAATTGTATTAGAAAACTACATAGAGAAATTATATACGATTATTGAAAGTTTAAATTGTTTTCATTACATAAAAATAGTATCTTTTTATTGTACCTAATGTATTCTTATTTATTTATTTTATTTGTTCTTATAATTTTATATTTAATTATAATTATTTTTAATAATTTTTCCCTTTTTTACTTCTTAATTATTCAAATTAAATACTAATGATACGATTATTAAAATGAAATATGTAATAATATACATATATGATTTTTTATACAATAAGAATGAAAAGAAGCTTTAAATATTTCAAGCTTAAATATTTCATTAATGTAAGATTTGTATAAGATTATAAGTGATATAAGATTTCAATTATTTTTTTATATATTATATATTATATATTTTTTTATAAATTATTTTTTTTTAGTTAAATTAATCCCATTAAAATAAAAGAAATCCTTTAAATATTGAAACTTAAACAATGTTATCAAACAATATTATCAGATTTGAATACTAACCTGTGCAACAGGCTTCTTTCCACGAGTGTCGTAAGGTTGAGATGATTTCACTGGTTTTGTAGGTGATTTAACTTGTTGCTTAAATGGTTCGTCTATTGGTTTTCTTGATTTATTCGGTTTTGATGTCGGTCGATATTGAACTGGTGCTGATGGCGCTGTTGGAAATCCGTTTCCTCTAGTGGTTGAACTTCCTGTTCCCGAAAGAGGACGATATTGTCCCGATTGAGCTGTTGAGACAGTATTAGTAGAAGTTTTTGATATAGAACCAAGATTTGTAACGGTACGTGGTATGTTTTCTTCACTTTCCTCTTGACTATCCAACGGCTCGTCACTTATATTGGTATCATCATCCTGATTATCATGTTCTCGAGGTGATTCGTGAATTCGAATTCCTTCATCTGGTTCTTCGTTCACTGGTTTAATTTGTGGAGGAAGTGATGCTGGTCCAGTGGATAAATTTGGTTTCAATGACTTAATCGGTGTAAAGGAGCCTGGTCCTGTTCCAATTGAATCTTCGATTCTAGATCTATAGATAAAAAATAATTATCAATAATTATTGCAATATTAAACAAATTAAGATTTGAAATATTCATGAATCGAAATTTATCTATTTATGCATTTATTTTTACATTCATATTTTTAATAAAATAAATTATATTATTCAATTTATTATTACAATTATATATGTATTATTTAATATCTACTTTGTTATGTTTGTTATAAAAATTAATATTGATTGATATTTTTTCAAGAATTTAACTGAAATTAATTGAAATTAGTTTAGCATCAATATATATCAATCTCATTATTAATTCTACCTAAATGTAATTGGTCGACGAATTCGTTGATTCGCAAGTGCAGTTGGGACTGCTGGTCGAGCAGATGGCAATCTCTGAAAACGAGTCGATCGTAAAGATGATCCTCCTTTTTGTGGTATATTGTCATCTTGGTTAAATTGAGCTGAAACAAGTGCAGTGACGCATGCCAACAACTGCAAAATAAATATATTTTTTTATTATATATATTTGAAATTTAAAAATAAATTAAAAAAAAGTATTGATTATGTTTATGAAAATATATTGATTAATATAAATTTTGTATCAAGGCTTTTAAAACTGTAATAAGAATTATAAAAAATAAAATTATATTATCAAAAATAAAATTATATAAATATAAGCGAGTAAAATCAGTGCAACAGCGATCATAATAATCAACATATGATACTGATAGATGAATTAATCTATGCATTCTTCAATCTAAAATATTACAGAAGCCTTCTTGATAAATAGTAGTTTGAATCATACGTTTAATATACGAATCTTCTATATTTTTTTCTTTCGTTTCTTTTTCTTCATTGCTTATAATGACTTGATTGCTGATGACTTAAATGTCAAGCAACAAGTTACGTGTGTGCCACACAAGATGCATTACATATATGCAAGTATTATGCGTCCCGACTTCTCGAAATCGAAACGCTTTCTCTTTTCTCTAGTATCGTATGAATTTTGTGATTAATCTCGTATAATGTTCTTAATTATTAAACATATATAGAAATGCTTTCAGAAAACGTGTAAACTAGAAATGCAGGACCGGTTTGAAACCAATCCTTCGATGAAAACCTGTTATATCGAATGAATGCAAATGGAAAAGTAAGAACAATCGAATTACGATCATACCAATAAATGCAGTGATTCGATAGTTGTTTGATCGCAATTCTCTTCTAACCTGTCGCGAGAACTTATATTAACAAGTTTATTCCCTATCTAGTACATGTAATTTCTCTTATATAAGAATATGAAATACCGGTCATGTTAACGTAACTCTCGATTCTATAAGAATTATTCGAAAATAAACGATCAGAATAACAAAATGGATAAGTATAATTGATAAAATGAAAGAGATTTTAGAGAATTTTAATTTTGCAAGAAAGAATAATATTGTATTATGTAATAATAAATATAATTAGGATAAAGAGAATTGATAAATCTAGTATATGAAAGAGAAAACTATAATTAAGTAATGGAATTCTTAATAATTGCGTTAATAGTGTGTCAATAATTACAGGAAATAAAAGTGATATAATAAGAGCAAATTATGTTAGAATTGCAATTAGTTAGATTTTTTATAGGAATTAAGATTTTGATAAATTTTATTAATATTTAAAAATATAAATACTGATTTTATTAAAGATATATATAATAAATTAGTAAAATTTAAAAAAAAATTCAATGATGAAACCCTTTATCAAAAGCTTAAAATTAAAATTTTGCAAAAATCAAATCACGTATTGTAATTGAAATGATTCTCCATATTAAAGATTTAAAATAGCGAATTCCATGAAAAATTCGCGTATTAAATATTGCACTGTTTTATAAAAATGGTGTAAAAGAAAAAAGGAAGTATACATGTTGCGACAATCGTGTTGGAGAGCCATCGAGCTGGATCGCCATATCCTCCTTTGTAGTTCTTTTAGTTCACAGGAATGCACTGGTATTGCCAGAGAAAGAGAAAAAAA